AAACCAGGGGAACAACCAGGACAGCAGCAACAACGCAAACCAGGGGAACAACCAGGACAGCAGCAACAACGCAAACCAGGGGAACAACCAGGCCGGCAGCAACAACGCAAACCAGGGGAACAACCAGGACAGCAGCAACAACGCAAACCAGGGGAACAACCAGGACAGTAACGACAGGAACCAAGCGAACAACCAGGACAGCAGCAACAACGCAAACCAGGGGAACAACCAGGACAGCAGCAAGAACGCAAACCAGGGGAACAACCAGGACAGCAGCAACGACAGGAACCAGGCCAACAACCAGAACAGTAACGACAGCGACCAGGCCAACAACCAGGCCAACAGCAACAACGCAAACCAGGGGAACAACCAGGACAGCAATGACAGGAACCAGGCCAACAACCAGGACAGCAACAAAGAGAACCAGGAGAGCAACGGCAAGAACCAGGGCAGCAGCGGCAATCACCAGACCAACAACCAGGATAATCAAATGGGCTCACCAGGAGATAAAAATATATCACCACAATTGACTTCCTCTGCTGCTGGTGGTGACAGCTTTTTAGACAATGAAGAAAGCACCAGAGAGGAAGAGGATGAGGCTAAAGATGGCAGCAATGCCTCCTCCTTTAATAAGGAGAGAGAGAAGAATGTTCCTTCTCCACCCAGGGAGCAGTCGGAGAGCAGCCACTTCTTCGCCTATCTGGTGACCACGGCTATTGTCGTTGCTGCCTTATACGTAGCATATCACAACAAACGCAAGGTGAGTGGCTTGCTCCTTACCCAGGCTCTCAACATCTCCCCTGCTGTTTAGGAGCTTCCTTTCCTCTCGCCGGTCACTGCTGCAGATTGAGACCTGCTCGGTTGAAGACCTTTCGCCTCGCCCTGACTTTTCTTTCTCACCAATACTTCCCGCTTGCTGCATGGTGTGGGTTTGGTTAATGTTAATTTGAGCCTTGGTCCTAACAGCTTTGGGAGGAGCAGAGAGGGTGTTGTAACTAGGAAAGGGGTCAGATCTCCGTGAAAATTGGGTGGCCTCAGCTGTGGTGGTGGTTTTCAGCTGAGAGAGGTGAAAAGAAAAAAAAAAGTGTGAAGTTACCCTGTGTTTTATTGCTGACAATGAGCTTTCTATAGCAGGTTGCAGAAGACTTGTCCTTAAATAGTCTTGCATGGGGGGATGCAGCTCAAATGATGTAACTGTCTTTTGCTGTTTTGTTTGTTTTTTTTTTCCCCTTCCTCCTGTAAAGCTGTTTTTGAAGTAGGAGGAGAACGCGTTCTTACTGTTTTCTGCACGTTAGGCAAACCTCATTATGGCCTGCTTTCAATCTTAGCTGGGTTTATATATTGGCATTTGAGTGCTTTTTCAAGTGAAATATGGTCACTAGAAAGAGGTAAGTGAAGCTGGTCTTTGGCACGTTAGAAAGCGCCTGCATTTGAAGTGAGAAAAAACTTATTTGGTTGCTACCATCCCACTTACCTTGTCCCCGCTTCTCTTTCCAAAGATCATTGCTTTTGCTCTGGAAGGAAAAAGATCGAAAAGTGGTCGACGGCCCAAATCTGGCGATTATCAGAGACTGGATCAAAAGGTAAAATCTACCTCAAATGGGTGCTGCCTGCCCCTGCGAGCCGGGCAGGCTGGGAGAAGGGGCTGCAGTGCCTGGTGTATATTGTAGATGCGATATATTGGCCCTTCGCATTAGAAATGGTCACAAAGCCCCTACTTGGCTGGTATTGGAAAGCAAATTTTTTTTTTTTTTTAGCAAAAACCCCGCTCTTGGTCTGGAAAGCAGGATTTTGCAAGAAAATGGAAGCAATAATGCTGAGAAATGATGGCAGAGCTAACACAGGGCAGAAGTTTGAGAGTCTTGAGCTCAGGTGTGCTGAAGAATAGTTTGTCACTGACTCAAATGACTTTCTCAAAGAAGCTATTAGCAGGAGAAGGGTAGGATTTGGGGAGAAGTCCCTTCCTTCTTCCCCTTGAAACTTTTTTCACCTGTTGTCCTTGAAGTCAGAAGTGTCTGTAGTTATTTTCTGCAATGGGAAGAGGAGGAGGCAAGGGAAGAAGTCACCCAAAGCTGAAACTTAGTCTTTCAGAAGGCTGTCAGCGTTTGGGGGATTGGTGACAATCCACTTTGAAACACCGTTAGGGATTTTGCATATAAAACTCAAGGCAGCATCATCCGGCTCATTGTTGGCTCTGCACATGCACCGCATGCTGTTGGGAGTGGAGAGTCAGTTCTCTCCCTTCCCGAATTGCAGCCGTGCCTGGCTGGGGAAGCCATCTGAGTGCCACAGAGACAATTTGCCTGCTTGAGCTTCCCTATTTAGTCTCACCAATATTTCAGGAATTTGTTTCCCTTGCCAGGAATTCCCTGACTTGCCCCTGAGGCACAGTAAAGCAGACAGGCAGTTAGAAAGAGCTTGTTTTTTATTTGAAAGCTCATCAGAGACACTTGGCCTGCTCAAACCCTGATGTTTTGTCAGAGTAGAAAAGCAATGCTGAGCTTTCAGATTGCTTAAACCTTTCTTTTTGCCTTTCCAGATCTAGATTCCTCCCCGGATATTCAGTGGAATAATGATGGCTGGCATCGAAAATGCAGGAACACCGGGACACCCACCAACTCCCCTGCTGTAGCGCTCTGAGTTGTAGCTGTGCTGCTGTGTTCAAATTTCAGACAACAGGAAGAAGGGAAATGCTTTTAGTTTTGCACCTGCACCTTGATAACGTTAAACCTCTCACTTCCTCAAAATGCATTTCTTCTTTCCTAGCTGCCTGAAGATGAACTCGTTTTCCGCTTGGGCGTCTGGCTTGAGCCAGTTCCCAGCACTTGACAGAACTTTTGTGTCCAAATGAAATGGAATTTGCCATCTACTGTACTGACGTCTCCTCTTGGGAAAAAAAAAAAAATATCCGCCTGCGAAATGAGCCATCTGACTGTTCCCCTTCCAGAGTCATAGAGCTGCCTTTGTAACCAGCACAGTCTTGCTCAAGACACGGACGTTCTCCTCTTCTGTCCATTGTGTTTAGATGCTAAAGTTCGGAGCGTGACTGATTGCACTAGTTTGGACGTGATCCGCCAAGGACTCTGATTTGAGTTGATTTATTTTTTTTTTTCTCTCTGTGATGAAGACAATGTTAGAGTTTAACGTCTATATTCTCTCTTTCACGCACGTCTTTTGAAATGCTGAAGCAGTCTTTGGCCCTTGGGTTGTAGCTTAAACTTCCTCACCTGCATCTTATGCTCCGTGCAAGTCTTTTTCCTCACAATCCCCAGAGTTTGGGTGTTTGCACTAAAGGTGACAGTTGCAGTTTGATACTGTGAAGGCGGGCAGGTTAGGCTTAGAAAGCTTCGTGCCAAATTGCCGCGGTGTAGTCGTAGCAGACTTTGCCTTGGAAGATTGCTTTCCTCCCCCTTGTAAAAGATAATTATGTGGTAACGTAAAATGTACGGCAATCCTGAAGCGATTGGGATGAATGAAACTTGCAGCCCTTCAAACCTCTCCCTCGAAACTGCAGTATTGAGGCCCTGGAGCATTGAGCTCCACCGAAGGAGCCTCCGCGGTTGCAGAGCTCGCTGCGACTGGGCTGTCGGCGTTGGCACTTGCTGGAGAAGTGCCGCTTTTGTGCCCAGTTGAGAGGTGAGGTGGCTGCTCGTCCCCTGGGGTACGCAAGCCTTGGCAGTGCTGCACCTGCCGAGCGCCTCAGGAAACCGTTGCAGCCCACGGTGCGGGCGCTGTCTCTTCTGCCCGTGAGTCACCATGGGGCGTCTTCTCCCTGAGGTCACCTCTTGAGCAGGTGACCGATGTGGAAGGGCTCATCGTATCGCCGACACAGGCTCTTCCCACTCTTCCACAGCTCTGCCGGCCCCGGCTTTGAGAAGGTTTGTGTAGTTGAAGGTACACGTAACCAGCTGCGTGTCGATGAGCTGGTCACTTCGGTCTTACTGTGGAGCACTTAAACCAGGGCCTGGGACGTACTGGTTATACTTAAGGCTGCAAAACATGTTGATTCATGAGTTATAGCTGTGAAGTTGTTTTTATTTTTGTAGTTTTATTCCAAAGATATTTGTTTGAGATGAGACGTTTCTGAAGAGGGCGTGAAGTGCCTGCCTGGCTCGTGCTTTTGTTTTTTCCAGTATAGGCAGAAAAAAAATGGTATGAGGCATCTAGAGCTCTTCACACGGGTACCCGCCTACGCCCGGAGCTCGTGTCAACCATTCGTGAGTCGCCCTCTCCGTGCACTTGCCGACTGACTGCACAGGAAGAATTCTGGTCGAGTTAACTTCCCTCCAGCTGGCTGCGAAAGCGACTCGTGGGACGAGGCCGGCCTTTTTCCGGCCTTCCCGAGGTTGTGAACAATTGGTAATGTGCCCTGTGGTTGCTAAAGATAGTCACACTTGACAAGGGCAAAGACGTTTCCTTGTCTGGACATGATAGCTACAGCTGTATTTTTTTTTTTTTTCCCTAATGGTTCATTCCCCACGTAAGAGGGGAGAAAGAGCGTGACCCTCTGCTAAAAGAAAAAAATTTATTTTTTTTTTTGTCCTTTTTGCTGGCTGTTAGCAAGCACGAAGAGTGGGAGAAAGTCCCTCTTGGCTTTAAATAGCTTTCAAGGTTTCCGTAGTAAACTTTTCTGATGCTAAAAGTACTTGCAGAAGCTATTTTGGAGAACAAGAGTATGAGGTGGAGGGAAGAGAAAGGAAAACAAGTCTGGGAACATAAGCCTTTGGGGGAAATGTGCCTTCTGAAAAGGGTGGGAACTCCTGCAACAAGACTCCACTGTTTCAGAGATCCCGTAAGCTAAATCTGAGCCTCGCTGTTGTGCGGCTGATTTATGGACAGGATGCGGGGTGGGAGGTGGTGGCTTTTGTCTAATGACAGCGGGGGGGGAAGCACAGATTCCAACATGTGAAATACCATGTGCTTCTGAGCTGCTCATTCCTGACTTTTTAGCGTGTGCTGTTTTCCTGCTTTGTCCTATTTTTTTGTAATTGAAAAATAATTTACAAAGGTTTGGGTTTTTTTCACCATCTGCTTGCTTTTCTATCCAGCGAGCTGCTTCAAATGCTTTTCAGTCCTATGTCGTTCCAAGCGGTGTTGGGAATCCCACCCCCGTTGCCAGCAGTTAGCTATTAACAGCAAGCCAAAGCGAGTGAGTTCTTTGGAGAGCAGGACCGTTGTACCTCAAATATCTCAATCGTCAGATCGGGCTGAGCACGAGCTCGTTCGTCAGATTAACAAGGACATACGTCATGTCTCGGTGGGAGCTGTTTTGCTCGGTGCCTGGCGTGGCTCCGGCAAAACAGAAATTCCCGGTGTCCGGTAAGTGCAGGGTTTGGGGAGAGGCAGAGCCAGGCCTAACTGGGGGGACTCCCCCCCTACATCTCCTCCTACCCAGCAGTTCCCGAGAGCGGCGTGTTTCTGGCAACAGTCGCTGTCATTGTCCGAGCTGTGTGAAACCTCTGGGAATGACTCCTGGTTTGTTGATTTGTATGGGATTTAAATTTATGCAATGTATTTCAAACAGGTCAAGGTGCGCCTGACTTTTTCCCTTTGGACACAACACGTTTTTCGAATGGCCGGTATCTGTCGTTATGTAGGTTTTTTGCCGAATGTTACTACTTTAGCCCAGCCACCTTGCCGGTTTGAATCAGCAAATGGTTTGTTTTCTGCTGCAGTGAAATGCAACTTGCTTTGAAGGATCAGAATTTTTATATTTCTTTGTACTTTTTTTTTTCTGTGTGGTGAAGTCAATAAATGGATTTAAAAAAAAAAAGCATTGAGTTTTCACCTCTCTTTTTTTGTTTGTGTGTTCTTTGCATGGTCTCCTTTGAAACCTCGCAACAACGGTGCAGGTTAGTTCCTCTTTGTGCAAAAAAAAAATAAAATAAAATAGGGTTTTAACAAAAACAGCACTCTTTGAGCTGAGTGGTTTGTGTTCAAAGCTTTATGTGCTATATTTGCACATGCAAACCTGGCCTCCCGTGACCAGCTAGCCCTGCCGCCGGAAGGAGCCCAGACAGGTTTCAGCCAAGAGTGGATTTGAAAAGTTTCCAGCCTGCTTCACCATCGCTCGGTGTCGGCAACCCCGTTCCTCTTGACCGGCTCCGTCCCTCCTACGGGTGGTAGTGAGCGGGGTTATTTAGGACCTGACCTTAAGACAGAGTTTAAACTGCTTTTAACAGAGCTCCATCATGGATCTCTCCTGCTGTTATTTCTTCTCTCACCCACAGGGAGGCTGTGAGGACGCAGCCCGGATCCCAGCACAGCCCATCTCTTCTGAGCAGCAGAGACTGGGGGAGACTGGAAAAGAGAGAAGCCCGGTGGTGCCACTTCTCTTCGCCCACGGCGAGAGCAGCCTGCGTGGGATGCTGCTGCCCGGCCACCCGTGGAAAGGGGAGGACAAGGTGCCACGATCAACTGCAGATGATGCGGGCTCTTCTGGGTAGCATCTACTGCTGCTTCCTGCAGTGAATGGAAGAAACTTTCTCCTTTCCCCCACTTTTTTCCCTAAAAGGAGAAAATCCACCCTCCTGTACTCTTCTCCGACTTGGCTGGACACCAGCTGCCTGGCAGTGAGTGCAGAGGACAGGCTAGGAAAAAGGGAAAGCCGCTTGGTTTCTGTTGGTGGGGTTGCTGAGAGCTTGGGGGAGGAAAAAAGGATGGAAATGGGGGATTCAAATGAGAATTCTCCGTTCACCTGCACATGGGGTCGTCGGATTGAGTGCTCATCCGAGTCTTCCTAGGAGGAGACCAAAGCGGAACTCTGCTGCCTGTCTTTAGGGCGATTTCCCAAAGACACAAGAGTTACCGAATTGTGCTCCAAGAGCTCTTTGAACCCCTTGCCCGCTTCCACCATGCTTCGAGAGTGCTGTAGAGATCTCAAAATGATTTTATTCCTACAGGTAGAGCAAATGTAGTGGGGAAGGAGCAGCCCTGCAGGTGCCTCAAGGGAGAGAGGCAGCGACATGAGCATCCCATCGTGCGTGCCAGGACGCGGTGAGTGCCAAGCGTGGGTTGTGTTGGGTGGCTGCACCACATGCCTGCCCACGAGTCAAAGTCCAGGAGCGGAAAAAATGCTAATTGAAATCAAAATTATCTGCCAGCTGGGTTGGACTCTGGTTATCAGAGTTGAATTGCTCGGAGCTGTGCTAGGAAATACAGATGTGGCCAGAGTTTATCTGAGAGGCACTCAGGGCAGAGGCGGCGCAGGTTTAACGCATGAGCTTAATCCATGAGTGCAGGGTGAAACGTGGCACGCTTTGGAGGTCTTTGTCCCTTCAACCCCCTCCCTCCTCCTGGAGCCGTCTGAGGAGCGGTCCCCTGTCTCGCAGAGCAGGGATGTCGTGCGTTCTGCACAGGAGCCGTTCAGGCTCTTTTATCGACGTGGCTTTTGTGCTTACTCTTGGGACAATGGGCGGAGAGGACCTTGAGCAAATACATCAGGTCCACACGGTGTCCCAGCCCATCCATCCCCTCCTCTCGCATCCCGGCTGGAGCTTTTCCCCTCTCCCTTTGCTCACATAAGAAGGAAGCTCGCAAAGCCCCAGTTACCTGTCGTGAACTTTGGGAGCTACCTTGAGCAAATGCTCCTGACCTCCACTCCAGGTCCCAAGTTAACCTGCCAACCTGCAAATCCTGCTAACCACCCAATGCGGGTTTTTTTTTTTAAAGCTAAACAGCCTCATGAACAAACAACTTGAACATGAGGTGATCTTTACAGCAGGACAGCAGTATTTTCATTATGGGTAGGGCACCAGCCGAGTAAACACATCAGCTTTGCCTCTGTAAGACAGAAGTTCACAGCCCATGATGGTCTGTTTAGATTAAAAAAAAAAAAAGGGTGAGACTGCATTTGCGAGGTTGGAGCTCTTTCATGTGAGAAAATCGGGAGGAAAAGCAGGTTTACGTTCCCCTCCGGAGCTGTGGGTAGCCGCGGCGTGGGAGTGCTGCTGTCGGGTGTTTGGGTGTTGCTGCCCCGTCGTGTGCCTAAATCAGATGTTTCTGCTCTGCAGAAAGTCCTGTGGTACGGTTTGCCCTGGCTGCACTTGGCTTGTTGAAACCTGCCCCTGGGAAGCTCCAGCACATCCCGGATTGAGCTGGTCACCTTTCCAGATGGGTTGTCCGTCGGTTTTCCTGTAACTTGTCCGTTGGTTTTCCTGTAACTTGTCCTTTTCCCTCTGTGTATGACAGGGGACTTCTTGTAGCCAAGCTGCTGCTCTTTGCCCGTCGGGCTTTTCTGCAGAGCTGGCAGCTCTCAAACACCGTCTGCCTCCTCCGCCATGGGTGCTGAGAAAGGGAAGACCTCCTGCAGCAGGTTGGTGACGAAGCAGGGCATCTGCTTGCATCCCTCGTAGGTGCCCCTGGCCTGGCAGCAAAATGCCACCTCCCAGTTGATGCGGGTCATGAGGCGGTTGAGGGCCAGGTGACGGTCCTCTCCCTCCAGGACCTTGAGCAGGGCCTGGAGGAACATGGATCCAAAGATGTTGAGGAAGGCCACGTAACCTGCAGAGTGTAAAGGAAGGAGACCAACGCTGGCTGAGCCGTGGCCCTGTGATGGCAACGTTTCCAAAAGGAAATGTTTGGTGTGTCGGGGGCTCTCCCTTACCTGGGCTGCAGGCGAACATCACGACGGTTTGGGGAGGGATGGAGAGGTACTCTGAGAAGCAGTCTGGCTCGGGCTCCCTGCCGTCACGTTCCACAACCACCCCCTTGTCGAATTCTGCCCCTCGGCAAGCCTGCGGGCAGAACGGCTGTTGTGAGCTTCCCCCTGCTCTGCTCTCTCCTTTTTGCCCGTCTGCAGGACAAGCCTAAAGCTCCTGGGGTCTTTGGGGGCTCCCTGTGGACCTGTAGCCCACCCAAACCAAGCTGACAACCCATCCTGTGGTGTAGATCCCCTCCCGGCTCCCATTCCCCAAGTCCCACAGCCCCACATCGTTCCTCTCCCATCTCCATCCCCTTCCCATCTCATCCATTGAGCATCCTCTTCCCTTGTCATCCATTGCAGCTCAGCTTTGTCAAGCCTCTCTTGCGAGGAGCCTGGAGATGGGGCTCCCTCCTCTCTTCCCCACGCATTTCTCGCAAGCCTGGCTCCCCTTCTCTGGGGAGATTCCCCTTGGAGCACAGCCTGCGGGCAGCCCAGTTCGTGTACGGTCCTTTATTCTACGCGATGGTTTGGTCTGTCTTGCAGGGATGGAGTACCGGGCTGGTGTTGGGAAGGCGCTGGAGAGGGACTGGCACTGCTGAGGCTGCTCTGAGGGCACATTTCACCCCTGCCTGGAGCCAGCGACATGTTGGTTGGGACCAGACCAAATGGCAGCGGCGAACACCCCCCAGCATTAGGGGAGCGTACCCTCGCTTCTCCCTACGCAAGCTCCCCGCCGACCACCAGCGGTAAATCCTCGCTCAGGACGTGGCCCGCAGAGGTGCCTCCAAACGGGCTGCGACCCCCTGGCACTCAACAGCACAGAGAGGTGGACGGAGGCCACCGGCAGCACCCGAGAGCCGTGGTGATGCCGAGTGGAAGCAGCCCTTTTCCAGCCCGGGCTCTGGGCACCCTCCACAAGGACAGCGTTCATCGGCGCGAGCACAGGCTTTGCCCGCTGACGGAGGTGCCCAGCCCAGTGTCCAGGTTTGCTGGCTTTTTTTGGGGGAGTGCCCCCC